AACAACGACGACAACGACGACGACAACGACGACGACGACGACGACGACGACGACGACGGTGGTAGCAGCGAGACCACCACCACTGCCATCGGCGGGTATCATGACCTCTCTTCGTCATCGGTGAATCGGGAGTTTGGCGAGGCCGATCGGCGGCGGTGGCGGGCCTCCTCTCGGCGGTGGCGGATCCGCGCCGGCAGAATTTCTCTTCTTGGTCGGCGAGAGGAGCGAGAGGCGGCCGATCGCGCGAGCAAGAAAGAAAGAGAGGCGGTATGAGGCGGTCTCCGGGGGCGGCGCCTGTCGGCGCGTCCGATCGGAAGGTGAGCCTCCCGATTGGCCGATGCGACGGCGGAGCGAGGGGAACGCGAGGACGCGCGAGCTACGTTGCTTCCTCCACCCGCTTCCACTCGGTTCTCTCTTCGCGGTCTCGAGCGCGACGTGCGTCCTCTTCGTCGCACGAACAGCCCCGTTGCTTCTTTATCGCTCGGCCGGCCGTCCCGTTCCGCGTTTCCTCGTCTCGCACTCGACCGACCGACCGACCGACCGACCGAGCGAGCCGAGCCGAGCCGAGCAGAGCCGAGCCGAGCCGAGCCGAGCCGAATCGAGTCGAGTCGAATCGAGTCGAGTCGAGTCGAGTCGAGCCGTACCGTGCCGCCTTGGCCGCCGTTCTCTTTCGAACCTCGTCTCTCTCTGTCTCTCTCTCTCTCTCTCTCTCTCTCTGCCTTTCGTGTTTTAGTTCTCGCTCGTGATCCGTCTCTCTCGTTCTCTCTCTCTCTCCGTCGCACCCACGCGTCGCTCTTCCCCCCTCGCGCACCCCTTCCCCCGTCCCTCGGCCCGCGAGCCGCGAGTCGGCGCTGGCACCGCTGCAAACACACGGCGTATCGGCGCTCGGCCGCCTCACGCACGGACCTCTCCTCTACTGCCGCTTCGAGGGAACCGTCGCCGCCGCGGCCGCCGAGAGCCTCGTCAGTTGCGACGCGCTCGTCACGGGGTGCAGATCGTGCGCGCTTCCTCGTGCCGCTCCATCGGTCTCCGCAACGCGCGCCACCACACGACACGACGGTGTCTTCTTTTCTCTCCCCCGTGCAAACGTTCCGCGAGACGAAGCCTCGTTCGTCGA